CAGGCAAATCTGTTTTTGGAGTTGGAAAACGGTGTTGCCACAATATCTCAAGAACTAATCGCTGGATTGTCTTCATATTTGGTACTATGGTGTACAGGCGGGGGATATTTCGTCACTCTGTGACAAATACTTGTTTCAAAATAAGTTGCTGATTCGCTAATCGAATACGCAGGGTTACTTCACAATATGTTGATGATACGCACAAGTTTTATTTTTGTAGCGTATCTGTAATATTCGTTGCGTATTTGGTACGCTTGGATTTTCTTTTACTGCGTATTTCTGCATTTCTGATGCGTATTTTACGCAGATACGCAGCTTATCTGGAGCTCTGTGCTATGGAAGGAGGTACATGTTGTGTGTCATAACTGATTCCACTATTGGATTGTGCAGCAAGTTATGAGGGTTGACAGACAACTTTAGACAGGACAGTGTAAGATATTCATTCCTCCACCATTCAAGATTTTGATCTGACCTAAGATTGCAATCTTAAATCCAAGCCGTCTTACAATCGCACTAAGATCCGTTTGTGCAAGTGGAATAGGACAATTGTATGGTGATTGTAAAGTTGATTGTAGGTGCCTAAGATCGATTGTAACTAAGATTGCTCTTTGCAAGTGGGCCCAGATCTTCATGATTCATTTGTTTTTGCAGCAAATCTCAAGGACCCCAGGACCCCCCTCAATTTGAGCAGTTAATATGTATTACCGTATTTCCTCTATTAGACGCCCGGGCTTCTATTTATTTCGGACAAGCCTTTGACCCGGCGTCAATTAGAGGCCCGGCGTCTATTGGAGGCCCGGCTTCTATTAATAACCCCATTTCACCATGACCACGAATGTCCCGAATCGTCACGAAATGGAAATATTTTGTGTTCGAAGATATCCGTAGATATATCTCAATTAATTGATCGACCAGGCGTCTATTAGAGGCCCGGCTTCTATTTTTTGCACTGAACAATTGACCCGGCTTCTATTAGAGGCCTGGCATCTAATAGAGGAAATACGGTATATGAATAGTAGAGATAGATAGCTTATTAACGTATTTCCTTACATATGATGTTTTGCCCACCTGACTGAGAATAGAGTGAGCTTATGTCATGCCGCGGGGTCCATCGTCTGTCCGAGACCCGTGACGATTCCGGGGTAGAATAGGTCTTCAGCAACCCATGCTTGCTGTAATAGGCGACTATGCTTGTCGTAAAAGCCAACTAATGGGATTGGATGGTCAGGCTCGCTGACTTGGTTGATACATGTCATCGATCCTAATTGCGTGGATCGATGCTCATGCTGTCAATCACTGGATTGTCTGGTCCAGACTCGATTATTTACAGACCGCCGTCATATAGCTGGAATATTGCTGAGTGCGGCGTTAAACAACAAACCAAACCAAAACCAAAACCAATAATCGCCTGTCCATACATCCATCGTTAACCGACATCTCGTAACCTCTACAAGGGCCATGGAACTGAAGCTTTGTGCGAATGATCCCAGTTAAATGTCACTAATTATTGTTCACAGAATTCCTACCCGATTTAATAGTGAAAATAATCGGTTTAACCAAAATAAGGAAGCTACAAAACTAGGGGTCCAGAGGACTCCCAATTACTAATTTCAAGGGTCCTTACAGGAAATATGAGGTCCTGTAAAGTTATGAAATGGTGTTGTGTACTGTACTGTATGGTTTGATAATTACTTTAATTACAGGACCTTTAAGTTTCTTTTCAAGTGAGTGAGTGAGTGAGTGAGTTTGGCTTATCGCCGCTTTTAACATTATTCCAGTTATATCACGGCGCGTCAGCTTAATGTGGGAGGAAAGCCTGAAGTGATGCAGGTCTCAGGCGTTTACCACTTCAGTGAAACCCACGGGCATGGGTATGGTGCTGACAAACCTAGAAACATCATTGGGGCGAACCAGGATTCGAACCAACAATCATAGGTTTCTGGCATGCCCAAGGGACGCAACTCTGCACAGCGAATCGCGGCGCCTTAGACGACTGGGCCACCCATGCCCCCTCTTGTCAAGAATTTGGTACAATGAATATTATTTTGTGTCCTTCGGGATGCAGTATATTTTTTGTGTGCATCCATCCCATACATTTGTCCATACTGGACTCACATTTCTGCGTCATGTAAAATCGTGTAATATTGAAAATGTCATTTTTGCTGAATACTCTTTCTCATTAAAATGAGATGTTAGTTCTCACTACCAATAACCAAACATCTGAGGACATCCTATTACGGGTCATGTCAGACCGACATTTCATCCCGGAAAGTGATGGGAAAGCGTTGAAAAAGATGTTTTTATTGGGGAAGCCATAGTCAGAATGTGTTTTCTAATCTAATCGAAACCTCGAAAAGTTGTACATAGGGTATTCTGAACGACAGTTATGGGAATGAAACAAGTGCTGTAATGCTCGAGAAAGCTGCTTTTTGATTGGCTTATGTCGGCCTTTTGCTGATCATTCGGTCAAAGTTTGCTGAAGGTTGTTCTGACGTGACCTGGGATGTCCTCAGATCTTGAGCGGTAGTTAGTACTAAGATCTGATGTTAATGAGATTGGTTAAGTACTCAGACATTTCTGCATGCATCATTACAAAATTTGATATACAGTATAACATGTAATATGTTTTTGGGTATATTTTTGTTCAATCTCAATCTCATTAAAATCAGATCTTAGTTCTCACAACCGCTAAACAAAGATCTGAGCTCACCCCATTACAGGTCACGTCAGACTGACCTTTCTCGAACTTTGACCGACCAATGGAATGATTGACAAGAAGTCGACATTAGCCAATCAGATGGCACCTTTCTCATGCTTTACTAATTTCAAATTGGCGACTACGCTTCGAAACGTGTTTTGAAAAATTCTTGATTAAAAATTTGAGACCTGAACAAAAGAGAGTTCTAATAGATGGTCTAGATTGTATGGATTCAGTCGTTAAGCACGTAATTATCGTTCGGAATACCCCATGTTAAAGTTTTCCAGGTTGCATGATTAGAAATGACATTCCGACTGTCACTTTCATGATCTGGTAAGCGATGCTCTGATTGGTCGGATGAAAGGTCGTTCTGACATGACTCCTAATGGGATGCCCTCAGATCTTTGTCCTCAGCGGTAGCGAGAACTTAGATCTGATTTTAATGAGATTGGTTCAATCTATGACCTTGACTTTCACATACTCTTGTTTTTCCAGTGTTGCTGCGTTTGCAACATGTCCTCTGAAACTACAAGGCCTAAAGAGCTGACACTTTGTATTATTCCAGCTATGGTGTCTCTTTAAAACTGATAAAATAATTCCAAGCCTTCTGAAGATGAAATAGATTTTGATTATTTATTTTTTATTACAGTACAGTTTGGATACTGGAAATGTTTACAGTTTTGAATTTAAAATATGTAAAAGCAATTCTGTAGAAGCATATTTGTATTGTTTTATTTGTTTGCTTGTCAAAAATTTAAATCTATTCATAAAACTGCTGACACAAAATCTAAGGAAAGAGCTCAAATCTCAAGTCTTGTTGGCATTATTGCACCCGTATTGTGACCAAACTCCCGAGGGACAAGCAAAGAAAGATGTGTTTGTGGTGAAACCCGTGAAGATTCTGAGTTAGAGTTGGTCTTCAGCAACCCATTCTTGTTGTAAGAGGCGGCTAATGGGATCGGATGGGAGTCTCTCTGTCTTGGTTGATGTCTTCGTATCCCAATTGCGTATATTAATACTCATGATGTTAATCTCTGGATTGTGTGGTCCAGACGAGACTCAATTATTTACAGATGTTGTCATATAAACAATCAATTGTTTACAGACACTGTAATATAGCTGGAATGTGGCGTTGAACAAAAACCAAAGAAGAGAATGACTTTTCCACCTACTCGTATTAGGATATTTTACCAACCACAACTGTCTATGAGTGAGTACGTTAAGTTTTTAAGTCACACTGGCAATATTTCAGCCATATCCCGACTAACAACTGTCTGTGAATCATACTGAGACTGCCTTAGACCAAAGAGATTTGATCACCATGCTCTAGCTGATTGCTGTTTCCGGGCTTTGTTAACGAGAAAATACACAAGGTAATCTTAAACCCTTGATGTAAAACAATGCCTAGCAGAACAAAAAATACAATTTAAATGGTAGATCAACATATCTCAAATTTCATATTTCTACTGACCAAGTCTCTCATCACCCATTCGTTTACAGATTTACTGAAGGGGTACAGTGTAATCTTTTCTGCGCATAATATTCACACAAAAAAATCCAAAATACTAAATCCACTAGATGGTGGTGTGCATTATACTTGGGTGCGCACTATACTCAAGAAAAGATGCTTAGGAGAATATAATGTGAGAGCTAGAATACCTGTAGATTTCATCTCGCAAAAGACCGCCTCCGTGGTCTAGTGGTACAGCGTCCGCCCGGAGAGCGGAAGGTCCGGGGTTCGATCTCCGGCCGCGTCATACAAAAAGACGTTAAAAGATGGTACTTGTTGTTACCCTGTCTGGTGCTCGGCATTAAGGGGCTAAAACAAGGACTGGCTCGGAGTCAGTATACTGTGTCTGAGTGGGGTGTTCATGTTAAACTGCGGCATGGTATCTCAGTGGGCTAGCACTATAAATCGGCATCAGTCCGGATTACTGCAAGCAGCCACACAAACACACACACGTACATGCAGGTTGCTATATAAGTGCAATAATCTTGGACGCGACGTTAAACCCCATTTCACCTCACCTCACCTCATCTCGCAAAATTGAATTTGCATTGAAGAGTGATTGATATTTCCTGCTACATGAGTGTGCAAATATCCTTTTTAGGTAATGAAAAGGTAAGATAAATGTTACTCATCCCTGTCCACATAATTTGAGATGCAATGTGTTCACATATTATTTGTGGACGTTACTTTAGTGCCAGCACTATTTTGCCTTTGGTGAAAGTAGTGTGGTTTTAAACAGGTCCATGTGTTTGATAATTGAGATACTGACACATCATTTGCCTTTCTTTGCAGTGCTGTCTTCAGTGCCAGCTGACACTTGGAGCGACATGTCCCAGAAACCCAAGCGGAAACATGCAGCGATGACGGCAGAAGTGGTGCCAGTCCCATCATCAGTGGTGGCAGCAGCGGCAGCGGTGGTGGCGGAAGGAGGGCACAATGATGAACCGTCATCCCAGCCTGAGAAGAAACCAAAGAAAGAACAACCTTCAACATCCAAAGAAGACCGAAGATCACTTGAAGAAATCACCAAACAGCTCGAAGACACGTTTGACATCCGGCGCTCATTCATCACAATTGAAATGCCAGGAATCCCCATGATTCTGGAAACATACCCGGATCTGTTCACGGGGAAGAATATGTTGTTGGAGTTCCAGAGAATCTCCAAGATAGACATTGATCACACCATTCAGGAATACTGTGTGAAGTTTGCACCAGGAATTGTAGAACTGGCAAAACATACTTCCGGATCGGCAGCCATTTTGAAACAAGCAGACCAAGCCAAGCAAGACAACGCTGCCTTGAAGCAGTACTGGGACATGGTGACGGCGCTGTGTCTTATACCACTGCTTCTGAAAGAAAACATTGTGGAAATGGTTCGCGAGATCGGTGAAGAGGATGAGGTCGATCCACGGGGGAAGGTTGTTCCGATTCTCATTGCACGAGGGAGCATCTTCAAAAGTGATGAGTTTTTCCTGGTGGCAGAGGAAACGGTTCTGCAGGAGTTCGAAGAGTTCACGATGGCATTTGCAACACTGTTTTCATCCTACTGGGTATTTAACATGCAGTACCCACGTACTCTGAACAATACCTATAACTTTGTCCAGAAAGGCATTCTCCACTTGCGGGATGAGACACCGATTCCGCCCCCGTGTAAACAACTCGTACAGAAGTTACAGAAGTGGAGCAAGATTGGAAAGGGGAAGAAGTAGGTCTGTCCATGGTTGTCTTTGGTAGAACTGGTCCAATGTTAGTGTATCATACGTTTCATACAGACATCGTTGGATTGGATTAAGGGATTATACAGAGAAGTAATACGATATGAAGTGTGTGTTGTCTGCAATGACGGTGTGGCAACAAAGAACTCTTTACCCTTATCCATCATATATTTAAAGGGACGTTTTTGATACAAAAGTTGACTGGAATTCCCTTATCCAGATTGATGCCAGCCAATCAAATTTGATGAGACAGTCAAATGCAATCTATGTCCCACTTTAATATAAAATGCCAAAGAATGTGTAATTGGACAAGTCACCGCCATTGGAAGTGTAAGCAACTTGAGTTAGTTTTGTATTTCTGGAAATGATTTTAGTCCTGTGTTTGTATCCTTGCCTGTTGATAACTTGACCGTGTGAAACTCCACAGCCAGCAGGAGTCCTGTCTACTTGTGCCATTTTGCCACATCAGTGATGATGATTAGCTCAACTGGTAAGAGACTGGTACAACTATTCTAATGGTTCATCATCCTACGCTCTTTCCTGGTGACATTTTTTCGGTCTTAGATGAGGAAAAACAATAAGGAATGTGGTTTCTGAACAGCTGTAAATATTTGTGAGAGTTATTTAGTCCAGAAACCAATTTTGACCATCCACATCAGTAGATATTAAATAGGTCAAGGTCACATGACTTTGTTACGATTTCTGTGTGATTAGTTTATGGGCAATAACTTTGACACATATTGATGGATCTGAACCTTATCTTGTAAATGATAATTGGTTGATATGAAGGAGGTAAAAAATCACAGAACAACCCTTCATTTTAGCACAATCCAAAAGGATTTCTGTTTTATGAGCAGATGCTCATGTCAAATAATTGTAAAATGCCCAGTGTGAATCTTGTATCACGGAAACTTACAAAATTGAACAATAGGCTTGTATTAGCAGTGTGTTCTTTTGTGATCTGATTTTAAATGCACATTCAGCATTTGACCTTGAGAAGAGTCCATCTTTAAGATTGAAAGATTGAATTATTCATGGGATGTATGTTAACGATTTGGGTACCATAACTTGTGTTTGTAATACTGATGTCCTCACTCATTCTTTGACCGTGAGCACTGACTGTAACAGCTGATATGCTTTGTGAATTCATACGCACCATCACAATCAAAGGTCCACCTGACTTGTGGTGGACTTGTTTTTTGAGGCATGAATGGCAGAGTTAGATTTGACCTCTAGGTTGTAGACAGGATAATCAAAGTCAAATAGACATCATATGTAATAGACAAAATCACTGGTACATATGATAACTACTTGCCCTTAATATTGAAGGAAGTGTTCACCGGATGTTGAATTATCACTGTTACCATGGTTATTCTAGGGCTGTAATCATACACTTTGTTCCGATACGATGTGTGTATCAGGTGACTGAGGCTGCAGTATGATAGCTACACAAGAACTTGACCTGTATTGTGGAGGTTGAAGGTAGATATTGTGTCCTGATTTGTTATTTGATATTGTTATACTTTACTTTACAAAATGTATACAAGTTATTGGTCCGTGATTGTGGCCATTCAATATGAACAATGGACAGAAGTTACATTCAGGTCCACAATTGTCCCCTCTGTCAAATATGAACAATGGACAGAAGTTACATACAGGTCCACGATTGTCCCCTCTGTCAAATATGAACAATGGACAAAAGTTGCATATAGGTCCACAATTGTCCCCTCTGTCAAATATGAACAATGGACAGAAGTTACATTCAGGTCCACGATTGTCCCCTCTGTCAAATATGAACAATGGACAACAGTTGCATATAGGTCCACGATTGTCCCCTCTGTCAAATATGAACAATGGACAAAAGTTGCATACAGGTCCACAACTGTGCCCTCTGTCAAATATGAACAATGGTCAAAAGTTGCATACAGGTCCACGATTGTCCCCTCTGTCAAATATGAACAATGGACAAAAGTTGCATACAGGTCCACGATTGTCCCCTCTGTCAAATATGAACAGTGGACAAAAGTTACAATTTGGTCCACGATTGTCCCCTCTGTCAAATATGAACAATGGACAAAAGTTACATTCAGGTCCACGATTGTCCCCTCTGTCAAATATAAACAATGGACAAAAGTTGCATATAGGTCCACGATTGTCCCCTCTGTCAAATATGAACAATGGACAAAAGTTGCATACAGGTCCACAAATGTGCCCTCTGTCAAATATGAACAATGGTCAAAAGTTGCATACAGGTCCACGATTGTCCCCTCTGTCAAATATGAACAATGGACAAAAGTTGCATACAGGTCCACGATTGTCCCCTCTGTCAAATATGAACAGTGGACAAAAGTTACAATTTGGTCCACGATTGTCCCCTCTGTCAAATATGAACAATGGACAAAAGTTACATTCAGGTCCAAGATTGTCCCCTCTGTCAAATATGAACAATGGACAAAAGTTGCATATAGGTCCACGATTGTCCCCTCTGCCAAATATGAACAATGGACAAAAGTTGCATATAGGTCCACAATTGTCCCCTCTGTCAAATATGAATAATGGACAAAAGTTATATATAGGTCCACGATTGTCCCCTCTGCCAAATATGAACAATGGACAAAAGTTACATATAGGTCCATGATTGTCCCTTCTGTCAAATATGAACAATGGACAAAAGTTACTTTCAGGTCCACAAAAGTTGCATATAGGTCCACAATTGTCCCCTCTGTCAAATATGAACAATGGACAAAAGGTACATATAGGTCCATGATTGTCCCTTCTGTCAAATATGAACAATGGACAAAAGTTGCATATAGGTCCACGATTGTCCCCTCTGTCAAATATGAACAATGGACAAAAGTTACATACCGGTCCACGATTGTCCCCTCTGTCAAATATGAACAATGGACAAAAGTTGCATATAGGTCCACAATTTTCCCCTCTGTCAAATATGAACAATGGTCAAAAGTTGCATATAGGTCCACAATTGTCCCCTCTGTCAAATATGAACAATGGACAAAAGTTGCATACAGGTCCACGATTGTCCCCTCTGTCAAATATGAACAATGGTCAAAAGTTGCATATAGGTCCACAATTGTCCCCTCTGTCAAATATGAACAATGGACAAAAGTTGCATACAGGTCCACGATTGTCCCCTCTGTCAAATATGAACAATGGACAAAAGTTGCAGACAGGTCCACAACTGTCCCCTCTGTCAAATATGAACAATGGACAAAAGTTGCATACAGGTCCACAATTGTCCCCTCTGTCAAGTAAAGGGTCACAGTCTTGATAAGATCAGAGATTGATTATCGGCAATCAGCAGGACCATCTGGATGCAGTGACTGCTCATCAGTGTAGGATTCACCATGACAGAGTTCATGGCACCAAGATACACAATGCACATAGAATGAATTACCGTATTCCACGAAATAAGCTCCCCGCTCTAATAAGCGCCCATGGCGATATTTTCTAATATATTGGCTAAAGAACAATCTCAATTAGCACCCCTTCCGATTGATCGATGTACACAAGACGTATTTGTTCATGTATAATATGCACTCGTGTGTTATATGCACCCTTAATTATGGGGAATTAAATTCTGGAAAATATATCTGTCGTGTATGATACACAAAGACTTTTCTTTTGTATCATTTCAGGCTGTCTGCATAAACTACGAAATTTACAATCTTTCAACGCTGTTTTTTTATTCACCAAAATTATATTCTAATAAGAGCCCCCTATTTCTAATTTTGAGAGAGCCCTGGGCGCTTATTATACTCGAATACGGTAGGCCTTTTGTTACTGGTTGCTGGTTGGATTTTGTCCATCAAAACTTGAAGTCAGTGTTAAAACAAAAAATTACTTTCATATATATGTTGGTCATTTGTGTAAACATGTGGTTGGTAGATATTTAAAAAATGATCATTTTTATTCCATGTCATGATGGCCAAGATTCAATTACAATTTTTAACAATTCTTAAAACATGCTGTCGTGGTGAGATTAATATCTTGTGTCAGGACAGGCATGAAAACAGTTTGTGATATATCTTAAATGGGGTTTTCAGATTCTGCGGAAAGACAAAACCTCAATTGAGAATTATTTTTTTAAACTTTCCTGATTTTTACAGTAGGCGGGATCGTGAAACAGTTAATTGAAAAAATGAACTATAGGTTATCACAATGTAATTGTGATGGACTGTGAACACACTTTCGGCTATGTCACGACAGTTTCTCCTCACCAGTAAACAACAAACTCCATCACCCACAAACAGAACGCCATCATGAAATACTTGTGTTTCTATTATGGCATTGAAAGATACCAATTGGTTAAATGTGAAGAAATATTTAAGCCTTTGGAAATTTTCAGTTTTTCATAACTAGTTGCAGAAAGTTGTACGAAGTATCTTTAGGGTAGAGGAAAGACGTTTGTGTTGGTCTTGCCTCCCTCTGCAGTGAATTGTTACAGCCCTAGGTACTGGTTAATGTATTTACAATCTCATTAAAATCGGATATTTTACTTCAATACGAATCTCTCTGCATGAAGATCTGCCACATCTCCATAGGACGTCGCATCAGGTGAACGTTCTAATCAGCCAATCAAGGCTTCGATATTCTCAGTAAGAGTGAGGGAAGCATTCAGACCGGCATATCTGATTTCTGTATCTCGAAAACAACCATTTTTAGCAATTCCGAATGCAAACCGAGGCGACCACACTCATATTTTATTGTGGTATCTTAGCACTATGACATCAACGCACAACAAGGTGTACGATCAAGGGTGTGTTTGTGTTCTGTAGCAGGTTTCTTCCAAATGTTGACATTTCCAAATCAATGTAGTAGAGAAATAAAGCTGACTCACTCAAGAAAACTGCCATCTGATAGACTCAAGAACCCCTTCCTTTTTTGGGATTTGATTTTTAAAGTTCACATTGTTTACGTGATGCCACCTAGATTTTGACACAGAGGGTTCATTGGGACGTAAAAGATCTGATTTGAATGAAATTGATGTATTTACAAGTCGGGTGTTGCCAGATTTACACTATAATCATGTTGACTATGAATCTTTGACAGATCTTTGACAGAGTTGAACCTATCTATGTAAGATGTTTTTTCGACATGTTCGAGATGATTGCATGTTAACCATAGTTATTTTTAGAGCAGGAACTTTCCATCTTTGCTACCAGTGTGTCATCATGTGTCACCATGTGTCATCATGTGTCACCATGTGTCATCATGTGTCACCTTCCATGTATATATACACATTGTCACACACCCCTGTCAGTTTTGTGTACAGTCGGAGTTGAATTGATGATGTATTAAGTCCTAAATGGTTGATAATCTTATATTTTGATGTCATACAAATTGGCTTTAGACGTAAATGCATACTTTAGACAGAATCACAGTTTTTGTTTAGTAGCAAGTATTTGTCTGGCCTTACATAATGAATTGGATTACGATTTAATTTCATGATGTCACAGAGTTGTCAATGTACGTCCTGTCAATCACTCTGTACATTTCATTATTGTATACATTTTTGCACCCTCAGATACCCAGGGTACTTGGTTGTCAGGCACCCTCAGATACCCAGGGTACTTGGTTGTCAGGCACCCTCAGATACCCAGGGTACTTGGTTGTCAGGCACCCTCAGATACCCAGGGTACTTGGTTATCAGGCAGCCTCAGATACCCAGGGTACTTGGTTGTCAGGCAGCCTCAGATACCCAGGGTACTTGGTTGTAAGACACCCTCAGATACC